GGCCATCCGATACATCCTTAACATGGAATTTGGGCTTGCAGGCACAGCATGTACCCTCTTCTGGCACTGAAGGAGTTGACAAGCAAAACCCACATTCGGGTTCGTCACCCCTCGTGCTGCCTTCACATACTGGAATGCATCTTCAAAGCTGTGGCCCTCCCTCCACATGAGGTATGCAATGACCAGAGAGTTGGACCGAGACACTCCCTTACAACAATGCACAAAAACTCGCCCGCCTTGCTTTCGAACATCTTCAAAATAATCAAACACATCATATAGTATACTCGTAATGTCCTCCGATGCGCTATCTCGCAACCAAAGTGTCTTGTACACAAGATCATTTCTGAAATACTCGGGAGAAACAAACCCAACACAGTTCAGCACATGAGTGATCCTATTCTGCCTCAAAACCTCGCGGTTCTTAGCCACCGCATCACTTCCCAAGTATATATGATCAGCAATTCTAGAGCACTCTTTATCGAAAAAAGCAAGCTTATCCTTCTTAAACTCAAATTCTCTCCCAGGTTCTTCTAAATTCGAGTTCGGAAGCGGTTTAGCTGACCCTCTCGGGGTCTGCGGTTGAGGCCAGACCCCGAGATCATCAGAACCTGCCCGCGGCCACTCCTTAACGGTATTTCTGGCTATTGAAAGGGGCTGAAGTGGAGGTAGGCATGACCTCACCTTACTATTCAGTTGTGGCCTCGGATATGGATTGTTGGGCTTAGAGGGTGACCGGTCAGACCACGAAACCGACCGCAAATAGGTTTTCCGGGTAGTATTTCCGGCGAGCCGGTCTTTCTCTTCTTCCCCTAACATCTCAAAGTTTCTGACAAAAATTCTAAAAACTAATTGATACCCATTGAAGGATACTTCCAGGAAATAACATAGAACCCATCAAGTTGAAATTTTTGGCGTAAACAGTTGGTATTGAAATTTCAACCCCTCTCTCTCTCTGCTCTTTTTCTCACCTAAAACCCTTGACCGCCTCTCTCTCTCTCTCCTCACCTTCTCTCTCTAAAGATTAGAGCTTTTCAACGTAGAAAGTTGATTCAGAAGCAAAATTCAAACACGAAAACGACCGAGTAAAACCCTAAACCAGTAGAGACAAGCAGAAAGTTGGAAGGAAGAAAGAAGTTAATTAGGATTTTTATTTTATCTACTAAATTAAAGTCGGAATTTTTGAAGAGAGACTTACTTGGAATTTCGAAAAATGGAAAATATCTTTTCCAGCTGAAGAATCGGTTGGTGTGTGGGACAAACTTTGAAATCCAGTGGAGAAGAAGGGGAAAGCATGGAGGAGACTGAGTTTTGGGAGAACGAGTTGGACTGAGTCATTGGTTATAGACTAGAAGGGAATGGGTCAAACTGCCACGTCGTCCATGATCTAATAACAAGCAATGCATGCGAGTTTTGTGATGTCATTTGTATAAGGATAGTTCGGACCACCGAGAAAATCTTGTGCAGGAATATGACACTCAAATTACGTGACTTGTAAGACAGATCCTACAAAAGTGGGAGCTTTTACGTAATTTCCATACCAGTGTGGGTAGATGTATGAATTTTAGAATGTTACTTGCGTAAGTCTTCCGTTAGCTTCAGTTACTTTATATATTTTTGGTAAAGTTTATTTTCAAGTCTTTTTAGGCTTTCTTCTACGTTTTTGTCTTGATTTTTTGTCTCATAATCGCATATTCTAATTAGAATATTTGTAGGTCTTTCGTTCACGTGTCCAAACCATTTTAACCGATTTTCTCTCATCTTATCTTTAATTACGATCACATGATTTTTCCCCACTATACAAGATAATTAACATGGTTATCAATTTCAAAGCAAGTCTATTCATGGATGGCTATGGCGTTGGAAATGAGAGACCAAAATTTAAGCGCTTAGCCAAATATTATATAAAACACTAATTCGTGGTCATGGATTGTAGGAGCAAGTCAATTTAAACACTTGCTGGTCTTTTGAAGAGGTGCTTTCTTTTTTTCTTGGTCGCGCCATTTCTGGAAGGCCTCAAACTGTTCAAGGATTCCGAAACCCTAATACTTAACGAGCAAGATAAACCGTCACACAACAGCGATAGAGAAAGAGAGGTCAGGGACGGCAGAGTCGGAAATTCCTACTTCCCGATCAGAATCGAGCAGCCAACAAGCATAATCCCCACCAAACTCCATTAATCCAAGTTGCTGGGAGGTGCCAAGTGGTAATTCTCCGTTGGCAATTGGTATTTTGCAAATATCATAGTTCCAATTAAACAAAAATATGTGGCCAGAAATCGACAAAATTGCCTTGCTGGTCAACCACGATTTGTTCAAATTTCCAAACGAATGGGTTCGATCAGCGGTTGAAAATTTGACCCAAAGTTTGATTAAGTCGAGATTAACCAATACTCAATTAAGACAGGATTAAAGATGAAGTTTCAAAACTTCGCCTGCTAAAGTAAGTCAGGGGTGGATTCCTCCAATATACTGTCTAATAATGGAATTTTATTTTAAATGTGATATGAACTTATACATCTTTTTTACTTTGTTATATGAACTTAAATTTTAAGCGATTTGTCATACCAACTTTTTTAAATCATTAATTTGTCATTTCACCTTTGCTCCGTTAAGTTTTCCATCCAAAATAAATTATGTATTGTGTACATTTTAGCATAAAGAATATTATCCAACTTTACCATAGATCCATAGTTTGGAGGGTCCGTAATGATTCTACATTTGTAGTCATATTTACTTTGAAACAGAGAGAAGTGAGTGCAAGTCGTTCCCTTTTTCCAAGGGGAAAACCCTCAAATTCTTGTATACCAGATCAACCCCTTTTTTGTATTTTTTTGATAAACCTCTGAATTATTTTTGTCGAAAGCAACTTGGAGAGTGAGATATTGAAATATCTAAAATAAAACACAAGTGTCTTGCAAATGACCTTATTTTAGACTGAAAACTTAACGGAGTTAGAGTAAGATGACAAATTAATAATTTCATAAAATTGGTATGATAAATCTCTTACCATTTTAATCATATGACAAATTTTTAAAAAATGTATAAGTTCATATGACATTTAAAATTTTTTACTCCAAAAGCATGTTTGTTGGATTTTATACACAAATGGTGGACGTTATATTTTTGTTTTGGTGAGAAATGGACGTGCATTATTGTATATGAACAGTCTAAGACCCTTTCAGCTGTAGTCAACGTCGGTTGCACCAATAGAAAAAAAAGAAAGAAATAATTTTGGCAGAAATAGAAAATATTGGGTCAAGAAAGGTGGCCAAGGAAAGAAAAAATCAAATTGGTCTTCTTCTCCGGTCCCCTACCCAACACAAAGTTGTATTTTATACACGAAGGTTATGAGGGACAAATGAAACTATCATCGGTGCTCTTAGGAAATGCAGAGTCAATTTAATAAGATAAATGTTTGGTGATGTAATTTAGAAAATTACAACATCTTTAAAATATGCTGATAACTATTTTATTTTTAATATTCATTATTTTGTTAAAAATTTTGAGAGAAATGAAAACATTCAGAAATAACAGCATACGCAAAGAAAGTGAAAAAAATGTATATGAATACACAAAATGATAATTAACAACAAACTATTGATTCACTTTCTTTTTAGGTTTTGTTTCATACATTTCATTTCTCCATCGTCCCTTCCTCAACCTCTCATTCACTACTTGTACATTATCTTTGTTTGCTTAAAAAAAAAAAGGTTTGAAAACATAATAGTTATTTTACAAGCCAAAAAAAATTAAAAGGAAATTGTAGTAATGATTTCTTAATTTTAACACAATTGCAGTAATGGTCTGTCAACTAAAAATATGTGACCACTGATCCCTTAACTCGTCAAAATGTGCAGTTATGATCATTTTCGTCAACTTCGTCAAGAATTCCATCAGAATAAGTCACTTGTCATGCATATGAAAAACCAAATGGAAAAAATTGTCCAATGGTTCCTCAACTTTAACTCGATTGAATAAATGGTCCCTTAATTTTAATACATTGGAGCAACGATCTCTTAAATTTAACCCACCATTTCTATAATTTTCTCAAAAATTAATTACAATACCGTAATTACAAATTATTGAACTCAGACAGATGATCCAAACTCCTCTAAATTAGTCACTTAAAAACAAATTTTATGTTTATCTCTCAATAATTTCACTACTTTGTCCTTAAGCGAAAGAATTAATATTTGAAAAATGTTCTAACTATGGATAAGGTGAAAGCTCGGTTTTCCACTTGTGTGTGAGTTGGAATACAACTTATACATTGTAATCATGCACGACCTCTTATGCTTGTAAGCTAACTTAATGAGACTTTCTAAGATACTTGAAATTGTTTGTGTCGTATTGCCGATATATTTTTTTCCGATCTAGCGGATGGAAAGCAAGAGTCGAACTTTAAAAAAGAGATACGACTAAAGTTTGTAGATGCAAATGGTTTACACTCGTACAATTATTCAAACCTTTTTTTTTTTTCTTTTAAGAATATTATTACGAGGCAGTGATATGACTGACATGCACCATTGGTCGTATAGTTGTCTCACATCACATTCCAAAAATAGGATCATGCTTCTGAAGTTTTGTTTAACATTATTGACGTGTTTACTTATTTAGAATTTCAACAATGGATTCGCATTCTCTTCAGTTATTTCAACACATGTATGTTAAAAATTAGAATCAGTCAAATTTATGGTTTCTTATGTATTTACTAATACACAAGAACTCAACAAACAAGTGGCACTCATATTACAACTTGTAATTCAATACTTGAGAAAATTATTAGAGGAGGAACTCCTCTCATTCCGATTCCTTCTTTCTTTATTCATGATTACACCATGGGCAGTGATATCCACACACCCACTTATACTTCTCACATACCATCTTAATTTTCGATCGTTAGATCGAACAAATAGCAGAAAATCAATGTAAAAAAATTAACAATGGTGTATGAAAAATAAAAATAGGTCTTTGAATAGCAAATTCACTTCACCAAATGATGTTCATATCAAGCATGTAATCATGTCATACTTGTTTACTATTAACAAGTCCGCATGCAAAAAAGATTGGGCCAACACAACCTAGTCTTCAAAACTCAAAGCCCAACTAAAACCCAACAGAAACATAATTAATTCCAAGTCAGCCCAGCCCAAATACAAAGCCCAACAAAAAATCCTTAAACCGAACAAACCCAAACCCAAATCCACCCACCCTCTCCTTCCCCGCGCCGCATTGCGTTCATCGTCGCCATTGTTGAAACCAGGTGGCCTTGGCATTGGCAGCTGCCATAGCTATACCTCCTATCGAATGGCTGTAGCTATACCACCATTTTCTGGAACCGACGTCGTTTCACCTGCGGCTACACCTAAACCCGCTCTTCCTTCCTCCGTCTCCTTTTCTGGGGTTCTAGCCTCCCATTTCCCTCTCCGCCGGATACCATACATTCCGACGCATTAGGTTCCTCGACCGTCTCTGCTATGCATTCACTCTGATATGTATCGAAGTCTTGGCGTTCACCGCCTCATATACCGGAGCCGCATAGCTTACTACGTGAAAACTGGCCTCATCGATCAAGCACTCCAGGTGTTCGACGAAATGACCCACTCGGACTGCCGCGTTTTCAGCGTCGACTACAACCGCTTCATCGGCGTACTCGTCAAGCACTCGCGTTACGATCTCGCCGAGCACTACTACTACGAAATGGTGCCGAAGGGATTCTCCTTGGACCCGTTTACTTACTCCAGGTTCATTTCTGGCCTGTGTAAGATTAGAAATTTCACCCTCATTGAGAAGCTTCTTCGAGACATGGATAGGATTGGGGCATTGCCTGACATCTGGGCTTTCAATATATATTTGAATCTTCTGTGCCAAGAAAACAGGGCGGATTTTGCTTTGGAATTGTTTCATAGGATGGTTGATAAAGGAAGAGAGCCGGATGTTGTATCGTATACTATAATTATCGATGGGTTGTGTAAAGCTGGACAATTTGATATGGCAGTTGATATTTGGAATGGTATGATTAGGAAAGGGTTTAGGCCGGATAACATTGCGTGCACGGCCCTGGTTGTTGGGTTGTGCAAGGGTGGGAAGGTTGATTTGGCTTATAACCTTGTCATTGATGAAATGAAGGGTAGAGTCAATTTTAGTAGTTTGATTTATAATGCTTTGATTAGCGGGTTTTGTCGTGCCGGTAGGATTGATAAGGCACAGGCAATCAAGTCATTTATGAAGAGAAATGGGTGCGAGCCGGATTTGGTTTCTCACAATGTGTTGTTGAATTATTGCTGTAATGCATTCATGTTGGAGGAGGCTGAGAAGTTGATGAAGAAAATGGAGAGGGGTGGGATGGAACCGGATGTGTATAGTTATAATCAGCTTCTCATGGGCCTTTGTAAAGCTAATAGACCAGATAAGGCGTATTTGTTGATGCGAACTAGGATGGAGCCAAAAGGGTTGTGTAATGTTGTGTCATATAATACCATCATTACAGCATTTTGCAAGGCAAACCGTACTGGAAGTGCTTACAAACTGTTTGAGGAAATGCGTAACAAGGGCACTGTGCCAGATTTGGTTACATTCACTATTCTTATAAATGCCTTTTTAAGAGAAGGTAGCTCAGATATAGTCAAGAAGCTTCTTGATCAGATGACAGCAATGGGTCTGTTGCCTGACCGTATATTTTACACCACAATAGTTGATCATTTATGTAAGAGTGGGAATATTGAAATGGCTTATAGTGTTTTCAGTGAAATGTTAGAGAAGGGAATCACCCCTGATGTGATTTCATATAATGCTCTCATTAACGGGCTGCTCAAGGCTTCTAAAGTGAGCGACGCTATGAATCTTTATGAGGAAATGCAGACTAGAGGATGTAGCGCTGATGAGGTAACTTTTAAATTGATAATTGGGGGTCTCATAAGGGAGAATAAGGTTTCAGTCGCTTGTAGGGTATGGGATCAGATGATGGAAAAGGGCTTTACTCTTGATGGAGCTTTCTCCGAGACTCTGGTTAATGCCATCAATTCAAAAGATGCTGCATGAAAATGCTAAATGGTTAGTATGGTGTACAAACCCTTTAGTTTTTATGTTTATGTACCAATAAGTGTCGCTGCAGTTTTATTGTTCAGTTGTATAAGTTTTGGTGCTTATTATCGATAAACTGTTAAACCTGTGATGCTACTGACCTATTTTTATTTTAAGTATGGTTTATTGGTTGTGATGATTATGCTATCTTACTTACGGACTATGGTCTATTGCAGAGTCCATAGTTAGAGGCACTTTTTAGTGAGGATTTCACCTCATCAAGCCCGGTCCGTTATCCTCTTTCTGGCAAGCTACAAACAACTCAGGTGCAAGCTTATAGGATTCATTTATGTATATATATATATTTCCATTTGATATGAATACAAGTACATGTATTCTGCTGCTTGTGAGTGTCGTCAAACAATATACATGGGTGTGTATGAGGGAATGTTGGGGTTTTGGGGGGGTGGTGAGGATAATAAGTCTTAGATACCCAGGATATATTCATTTGTCCAGTGCTTATGACAATTTATATTTCACCGTCATGAAAAACTGACATTGAAACTATCAAAGTAGAAGGATGTGAGTATTGTGGTGGTTGATGGTTGAATAATAAAATCATTGGTACAATGCTGCATTTTAGGCACAACCTTTGAAGGAATTGTTGCTTCATGATTATTTGTTTCTAAATTTCTATGGCCTTCATAATTGTTTTCAATGTCTTCTCACCATATTCTTGAATCTTGTCATTGGTCAATAATGTTCTTTGTGTTCATTTAAGCAGGATTGGGACCTTGGATTTGTTCAGCCCGACGTTTTTAAGAGGGCAATGCTTATCCATATATGATTTGTCTCCCTAACTTGACGCATGCAGTCTGCTTAGAATGCCAAAAAGTACTTTAGCCTACTTTGTTCTTTTCTTTTACCCGGGGAACAACACGTAATGCAAGTGGGCTTTGCAAGAACCAGACTGCTGAACGGTAATTGCTTACCTTTACTCTTTTCTCAGAGAACATTGTTATTGACTGTCACCCCCAATTGTCTAAGGAAGGTAAACTAAAGAGAAACCTAATGAAGATTTCAGAACTGCATATTGATTTTGTTCCCTATTAGTTTCTGGACTAATGAATTCAACCTTAAGCGTGGCAGAGTTCTTCGACTTGATTATATGCCTAGTCTTTGGTGTTATCTACCAATATAATTCTGAAGCAATCTAGAGTTTTGATTCTTGTTTTCTTTTTTCAATGTGAGATGAGATGATGTAAGTGAGTGATCATATCTGATTGCTCAAGAATTTGCTTTCGACTTCATGTTTTATTAATTTGAGTATGTCGTTTATGGGGCACAATACCGCATGTTTTCTGTTGTCTCTGCTTGAGATCTATGCTGCATTCCTTATATGAATAAGCTGTTTGACCAAGCTCTCTCTCTCTCTCTCTCTCTCTCTTTCTCTCTCTCTCAGTGATTGTTATTGTTTTTTATTTATTTATTTTGAGAATAACTCTATCCTAATTAGTAATTACATTAAATCCCTTATAACTTTTTTTTTTTTTTTTTTTTAAATTTTCTTAGGGTGCACCATGACCTTCATGGACATATAGCTCACATGCAGAGGCTGCAGATCTATTTTAAGAACGCCAGCGTGAGAGCACTATCTATCAAATTTGGGCATTAAAATTACTCTCAAGTATGACTTCTTATTCGAAATGCAGTGATTTTTGGACCTACTGCCACTATTCTCTTGCCCTCTTTTTTTTTCTTTTACTTGCATTGGATTATATTCTAGCAGAATTTTGATTGATGCTATTTGTATTTTTCCTTCGCATGTAGGGACTAACAGAAAGAACAACAAAATTTTTTGGCCATGTCCTGAAGAAAAGCGGATTAAAGAATATGAAGACTCGGTTTCCTTTGCCATGCCGGGGTTTTGAGGATGGAAGAAAACGAAGAGAACTTCCAAGGAATCACCACTAGTTTTCACAAGTATAACACAACCGCCGACAAGGTGCTTTTCAAATACTTGCGGCATTTGTTATAAGCCAGAGCCCGAGTCACATAACATCTCCGGTAACGGTTAAAGATGTTCTCTGGTCATGAGCAAGTCAGTGTTGAATGGTATATCTGGCAGGAAGTGTTTATATCCAGTTGAAGTTTGCATCTTCTGTAGCATTTAGCTTTTAGGCAAGCTGGATATAGGGGGCAAATATGTAATTTTGCTGCCACTCTAAAATACACAGAAGCACTTGGACAAAAAGTTGCCACCAGAGATTGCTTGCCTCCTGTGCCACCTACACGTTGATTCTTTTCCCTTTCATAAAATCATCCTTGAAGTCCTCTTCAAGTTATTCTCTCACACCAATTCCTGAGTATTATTATTCCGCATCCGCATCCGCTCCTCCATGCTTCACTTCTTCATTTCTCAGTACTACTCCGTACCGCCATGCCTCGCCCTGGTGACACCAACCCACATTTTGTCCGGCCATATCCGTCACAAACTCCAGAACAACTTCCCCAAACATCTCCACACGGTCCATTGGTGCCACTCCCACAGCACCATGGCCAACACCCCGCGCCACCCAACCTCAGACCAGACTGGCCTGGACCGCATCACCCTGAACCACCAGAAGTCGAGCCAGAACCAATACAATTTGAGCAGGTTCGCCGGCCCCGGTCTAAGCATCAATGGCGGCATTCCAACCCAGCGGGTCCATTGGTGTCATTTCATCCACAATTCGAAGAACAACATCCGCTGACAGACCAGCAAACCCTACCACTAGTTCCATCAGTGCCAACCCCGCACCCTGATCATGAAGACCACCATCCTCGGAAAAAGCATCAAGGCCGGAAAACCCAGCCTGTAGTTCCACCCGTGGCAGCTCCATACCATGATCACGAAGGCGAACGACATCCTAAGAAAAAGCATAAAGGCCGGAAAACCCCACCTCTAGTTCCAACCGGGCCTTCCCCGTACCATGATCGTGAAGACAAACAGTATCCCTCGCCACACGGTTCACAAGGGCAGCCGCATAGCCGACGTACTCACCCGCAGGGCTTGCTCATACCACGCCCTCAACAAACCAACGTCTTCACATGGTCCGGAGCCATTTGCTGTGCAATTTTTTGGGTTCTCATAATCATAACGGGCCTAGTGGTTCTCATAATCTATCTTGTTTTCCGTCCCCGGACTCCGAAATTCGACGTCTCTTCCGCCACGCTAAACGCCGCGTATCTTGACATGGGATATCTTCTCAATGCCGACGTTACAGTGCTGGCAAACTTCACCAACCCAAACAAGAAGGTCAGCGTCGACTTTAGCTACCTGAGCATTGATCTATATTACGGAAATACCCTCATTGCCACCCAGTACGTAGAACCCTTCTCGGCAGAGAGGAGTCAGTCCATGTTTGCAAATGTTCACATGGTGGCCAGCCAGGTGCGTCTCGGAGTGCTGGAAAGCCAGAGGCTTAAGAAGCAGATGGAGAACAATCGGGCGGAGTTTGAGGTGAAGGGGTATTTCCGGGCACGAGCTAACTTCGGAAAGATCCTCCGATACTCGTACTGGTTGCACGGTGACTGCAGAGTTGTGCTCACTAGACCTCCTGATGGAGTTCTGGTGACTAGAAAATGCAAGACAAAGCACTAAGCTAGCATTTGGAATTCCATCCTTTTTCTTTTTCATCTTTTCTTTTTTCTTGGATTGTGTTTCAAGCATCGAATTTTCGCCAGTTACTTCCAAATTTGTTTCATTGACTTTCGTATTCATATTGAGATCCCGATTGGATATTTTTTTTTTTTTTTTTTTTTTTTCACGAAAAACTGTTTCACTTCAAAATTAAACAATAAAAAAGAGTTTCGTTAAAATAAACAAAAAAGAGTTCGGTAAAAAAAAAATATTTTGCTTATTCTAAAAGTAATGGACCTTCATATAGCTTTTAAAAGCTACTTTCATAAAATGCAGGATTGAACTTTTAAAGAATAATTTTAAGAGAGTTTAAACGAAAAACCGGCGGTACTGTTTAATTTAACAAAAAATCATATTTTTACACTAAAAAGTCAAATTTGGTACTATTCACTTTACCCTTTATTTTGTTCTTATCGTTAAAACTCAAAGTTTTCAAGCTCTTTTTTTAGTTTTCCAATTACTTGGGAGTTTTAACGAAAAGCCCGCGGTATTGTTCATTTTAACGAAAAACCACATTTTTACACTAAAAAATCAAATCTGGTTACTATTCACTTTACAAAAAAATATATTTTCAATTCCTTTAATACGCTTAGTGTTTAGAAATGACAATATTTATCACTCCACATATATTTATTCCTTGTAGAACAAAATGACTACCACCACTACCACCGTCACCACCATAACTACCACTATAGACATAACCGTCACGACCGCAACCACAATCACAACCACAACCGTCACCATTGCCCCCCTACCACCATTTTTAACTTTGCACCCCAATCACCACACTCAACCATGGGCAGCACCACCATACCCCACCATTTATGCTCCAATTACCACCACAGCTGTCACCACCACTGCCCCTCCATCGCCACCATCCCCTCTACCATGCCCATTTGGTCATTATATACAGTTATATCATTTTCACATTAAAATTTACTAATGCTTTTTCCTTGCTTTTCATACTCACTTAAAAAATCCAATTTATCAACGCTCAACTGCTTTATTTCATAAATGATCATTCTTAAAGAACAACAAAAACATTTATTTATTTTTTAAAAGCACGTCAATCTCAAGGTGGCCCTTAATCCAATTGATATGTGAAACTTCTAACCGAAGAGCTTATGGACAGAAGTAGCCTCAATCGCGACGGAGTTTGATCTTTTGCTGTAATGCACTGTAATTTCTCAAGCAGCAGAAAATAAAACCAACCCAACTTTTTGACAAATCTATGAGACAAGAAGACTGAAATTTACTGCAATATGTGAAAACGTAAACAAACATATGTTCATCCATCTGAGAAAACATAAACAAACAAATACACAGGGCGAAGGCTAAACTTGTTCAGAAAACGCATCACACCTTATGTATCCGACTCATTGTTTCGAAAACATGTTACATTCATTTCATGGTACAAAATCGAACAAGGAGAAACTTATGCGAACAGGATAATTACATAAGCTTTCCCGTAGACAGTGAAGTTACAGAAATCCAGGGTTCCCGTCGAGCCCCTTCATGTTTGTGTATGCCAAGAAATGAAAGCAAGCAAACACCGCTCTTCAGTAAGCTAATACCCCGTAATGCACTCCAACCAAAACCTACTAACAACACAAGAATGAATTTTCCAACTGGCTAAAACCTCCTGTAATGATCCCTGGTAAAGAAGGGATGCCTAAGGGCTTCGGGAGCTGTTAGCCTGCTGGACGGGTCAAATTTAAGGAGACCTTGCAGGAGGTCGATGAGATCACCAGCTGAATGATCTACATGCTGCATCACTATATTCTGACAAAGATGATATAATTTAATAAAGGTTTTTTTTTTTTTTTTTTTTTTGTGGTTGATTTAATAAAGTTTAATTTAAACAACGTTTCTGAACGTATTTCAAAACAGAAGAGTAAAAGTACAGTAGTCCATATACCTGGAGACGATGTAGCTTTAAAACGGCTTTAATACTTTCTCGAGAAGTTGCACCTTCTGGCCAATCCAATCTACCCCGTCTGACATACTTCTCAGCATGACGGCTGAACCAAGAATACAGAAGTAGCAAAGGAGACAGTGATGAATATAGACGAACAAATGTGATCTGAACTTTAAAATACAATGAAATTCCTAAGGAAAGCACATACTCTGCTCTTTTCAACATATGCTGTGGCATTGGACCTAAAACCCTCTCCATCATTGCTAGGTGTTCCAAGTTCTCGTGTGTCTGGAACAAAGCCTCTCCCTGTAAAGAATTTTATTTTATTTGTTTGTCAGAATCTCTACAGTTAGTCCTAATCCAGAAATTTGGCAGAGACTGATGGACCAGTATAACTCAGAGACATACTGAACACAACTCTACCAAGATGCAACCAACACTCCATATGTCGCATGGATAACTCCATCCAAGTCCTGTAAATATTAACAATCTTATGAATGTTAAAATATAAATTGATACCAAATATTCAAAATGCAAGTGATTTGCAAGAGAAAAGAGAGCATAGTATTACTATTAGCATACCCAGAATAACCTCAGGTGCCCGGTAGTGCCTTGTCGACACAATGTAGTTGTGCTCTTGATGCTCATAGGCTGTGCTACCAAAATCAATAACCTTGATAGCGCTAGACTTTGGCAACCTTTTATAACCAGTTCCATCTTTTGGCGGCCGGGATGTAAACTGTGACAGCAAAGCAATAAATAAAAATTACAATTTTCAATAAGTGAACTGGATGCAGGTAAGAGGCAAAGAGAATAAGTGAACCGTCTCATTTGAAGGGGCAACAATAAAAAAGTAAAAAAAACACAAACTGCAGAACAATATAACTATAATCACAGGAAGAAATACCTTGTAGTCAGGTACTTTAATGTATTCTGAAGAAACAAAAAGTATGTTCTCAGGCTTCAGGTCGGTATGGATGAGACGCATATCGTGCATGACTGCAAAAGTTACATGCCACAGACAACATAAGAACTACTAGTGTTCACTTTAAAGTCATTGTCCAGCCCAAGAAAAGATGCTCAGAAGATATTCATACATGTCATGGGAATAAGCTTTACTGAAAAAAAAAAAAAAAAAAAAAGCAGAAACTTCAAGTAAATTTTTAAGAAGGAAAGGTAAAAACTTATGGAATAGTACAACTGCCGCTATAAAATTTGAATGAGATAAGAGAAACAACAGAAGTCCAACTACACACATGCTACACATTCCAACAGTTGCCTGCCAAGTTCGCGGACAAGATCAACCGGAAATGCACGATAATTATTTTTCCGGAGGAAATCGTATAAGCTAGGTCCAAGCATCTCAAATACCTGTTAAGACCATTTAAATTCAAAAATGTCTTAACCCCCAAAATATTGGTGAAGTTGGGGAATCATTTTTATCAAAAATCAAGCTTATACTTACTATACATATATGGTTACGATAGTCAAACCAGTTCCGTATTTGAACACAACTGCAAAGAATAAAGCCACTTAACAATCACCCAAATTTCATTTTACAACTGCTAAGAAGCAAAAGAAATAACCATGACAGGAAAAGTATACTCACCGACTTCCATTTCTGTCATTCTTCCCAAGCAACTGTAGCACATCAACTTCAATCCTTGCTGCTTCACGGTATTTTTTGATACTCCTGACAACTTTTATAGCTACCATTTCTTTTGTTTCCCTATCCCAGCATTCCAAAACCTGACCAAAAGTTCCTACACAATGCAAAGAGCAGAAATATGAGAAGACAGATCAAAGGTACAGGAACCCATCTAGACATAGGTCTAAATCCAGTGAAAACCTAACCTTCACCAATTTTTCTGTGGATCTTATCTGCAAGTACAGAAACAATAGTTTGAGCAGAAAACTACAAATATTTTACAAACCTAAAATATCAACAAACAACTATGTGTGTGTGTGTGTTAAATGAAAACAAATATTCTGAACTACTCAGACTAAATTATTTTGAAGGCACACCGTAACGAAAAAAATGAACTAAAAATAAAACTTTCAACACTTTAGATATATATTTTAAATTCTAGAGCAACCCTAAAGTCCAAAGATAAGGTCCTAGAAGTTTTTACTTGTAAGGAGATTTTCTTTATATAAAAATTCATTGGAAGTACACCATTGAGCAAACAAAAAAAAAAAAAAAGTTGGAAGTACATCAGTGTGATTTATTAGATTGTGGGAGTTTAAAATACAGTATCGAAAGACACATGAAGAATGTAAACGGAAAAACCCTTCAACGATGAATGAACGTACTTACAGCGAGATGTTAAATTTTCTCCAAGCACAAACATGTAATGTCCATCTTTGTCATCATCTCGCCGAGGGGAAGATCCTTTTTGAGTCGACCCCTTTACAAAAAGACTAGGACGGTCTGGGAGTACTCTCGTAGGTCCAAAGCTTGTCCCACTTCCAACATCTTGCTCATAATATAGTCCCGACTGAGCCTACACACAGCCATTCATTCATACTCCACTATACAAACATTAATACAAAAACTTCACCCCTTACCCATCTATCATTCATTTCTAACATTTTCCCTTATCTTTTCTAATCAACCAAATACAAAATCAATGTATGCAGATTAATAAATCATACAAATGTAACACCCGAATACTGAACATAACCAGCTTCGATATGCCTCACCTATTATATATCTAAGGGGTCATCAAAATACTAACAATTCAGTTATTCAAGTCTTCCAAATCATTTATATACTATTAATATACAACTGAATTTCCTCAAGAAATATAATTTCTTGTCTAAGGCAATATTTTGGACAAGATCAAAATTTTCTGAACACCAGAAGATCATGAAATTTGGAAAATGAAATCATTTCGATTTCTACCTTCAAATTACCTAAAATTTTAACAGTATATCCTACCCAGTCGAATTTACCACACATAAGAAGGTAAATTGGGATGAATTCAAAATTGAAAAGCTAATTTTAATGAAAAGTATACAAATTAAAGCCTGAATAAACAAAAAACAGGGTAAAATTTGTACCTTTGGGTGAGGTTGAGGGGGGTCCCAAGCAAACCTGGGGCGCTTTCTTGGACGCCGATCAATGTGCGAAAGAGGGAACTCCGACACGTAATCCATCTCCATACAATTCAAACCCTAA